GCCCGGGACCACGGTCCCCGGCAGCGGACATGGTCAGGCAGGCAGAGCTGGGGAATTCAGGGTCTGCCGAAAAACGAAGGAAATGTGCCAGCTCGGCCCCGGGACGGAGGCCGGAGAACGAGCAGTTCTACAGTGCAGTGTGGGCACTACCCCCGGTGAGCACCGCGGGCCAGGGGAGGCTGTGCATCTCTGTGCCGCTGCGGGCTCGCACGGCGTTTCCCTGCCTTACCTTGTCATCCCTCTCACGTCTGCCTACGGAACAAACCACGGGATCTCCGCATGCGGATTTATGTGAAACCCATTCACATGCAACAGCAGCTGGGGTGCACCTCCTTTGTTTGCCCTTTCGTTCCGCTTTTTGGGGTCACCTATGTAAATGCACAAGGCACTAACCATGCAGCCTGGCTACCTTGGATGGCATCACTTGTGTCGGCTTCAGATTAAAGCTTTCCTAAACACATCACGAATGGCCGTTCCTCTCTCAGAGTGACAGCATAGCGAAGTGAAAACACAGCAGAGCATTTTACACATCTTTACTACTGGTAGAGTATCTGGAAAGACATGCAAGCACTGGGAGATTCCTTGCTCAGCGATTCAGCAGGCTGGTTTTGTTCCTCATGGCTGCTGTGGCCCAGGTACACTAGGGATGCTGGAAGGATGCATTTATATGGAAGTAACAATAGGAGGTTGGAAAGGTGGATGCAAGTCCCCTGTGTGTTCTGCCCTCTCAGTTGCATCAACCTATCCAGGTTATGATCCTATCAGGGGATCTGGCATTTAGCTTTTTATTGCCTCCATTTCTGAGAAAATTACCAACTCGTTTTGAGGGGGAAGATTTATTAGAGATGATTTTTCTATCTACAGGATTTGAAATAAAAAGGGATATGTAACAGATACACATGATCAGCAAATGGAAATCGTAATTAGAAAGGAAAGATTGACAGGGACACAAGTCTGTAGAATTTCATTGTTAAGAGATCAATTTATTATGCCCTTGACTGCAAGTTAAATTAATACACGTAATACTACAACATGGAAAAGAAATGCCAGTGACTGTCATAAATACAGCTTGCTCTTCTTTCCTAGTTATTTAGGGAGGATTGGGAACACTTGTGAAATCACGTTCATTAAAGCCTGAATAGAGGCAACTAACCAATAACTGCGGTGGAAGCAACAAGGTTCTCCCCCCTCCGCGCACCCACCCGCCCTTTTCAAGAACGGGGGGAAATCGCAGGCGTCAATCAAGAAATACTGCAAAATAAAATGGACCCTCCCGGCAGCCGAGGCATCGCGCAGAGCAGCGGCGAGGCTCTGGCACTCTGCTGGCAGCCTCGGGCGCCGCCAGCCCTGCAGCTCCGCCGCTGACCGGGGAGCGCACGGGGCTCCGCAGCCCGGCTCTTTCCTTCCCTCCCTTCCCAAACTGTCAGGCACAAATGGGCAGGAGGATATTGGCTGCAAGGGGCGCGGAGGCTCCTCCCAGAGCCTGGATCCCGATATTTTTGGAGGATTTCTTCTAACTCAGTTACAAACCTTGGTGAAGGGAACAAGTTGCCGCTGTGGCGGAGGCAGAAAGCGCCTCTGCTTGAGGGGAGCGCGGCTCTCGCTCCTTCTTTCGCCTTCCCGAGGCTACCTTGGGTGCTTCACCTCACTTGCGGATGAGAGCTGTGCTGCCTATCGGGGGGACCGCTCCTGATTTGGATGTTGCTGTTTTTGTGAAAACAAGGGTTGTAAGGGAATGAAAGGGGAGACAATGAAGAAAAACCGACCGGGAGAGAACCCCAGCCCCAAGCGTTTTCCCGAGAACTGACGGGTGTTTAGGGGCTGAGCGATCCCGTCGGAGGCGGCGGAGGGAGCAAGCCTGCCCGCTCCGCGGGGGACTTCCCGGGACCGGCTATTCCCTTCGGATGCGGACTGGGAAACCTGTAGGAAATTCTCCCGCCGCCCAGCGAAGCCACCATGAATTCAGTGGCTGGAAATAAGGAGAGGATTGCGGTCACGGCGCGGAGCAGAAAATATGGGGTAAGTTGTCGGCGCCGGGGCGGCTCGGAGCGGGGGTCGCCACAGCGATGGGGCTCACTCCCTCCCTCCCTCCCTCCCGGTGGCTGCGGGGGATCCTGCCCCGGCCCCGCGCAACTTCCGCGGTGCGGGGCGGGCGCGGCGCGGGGGCCACCGCGGACGCGGAGCGTCCGAGCGAAACTTGCCGGGCCTCCGTGGCTGACCCGCTGCTCCTTCTCCCGCTCCAGGTGACCGAGCCCTGCTCCCCCACCAAGCCCGCCGCCCCCTTCTCCCCCGAGAGCTGGTACCGGAAGGCGTACGAGGAGTCCCGGGCGGGCGGGCGCCCGGCGCCGGAGGGAGCCGGCTCTGCCCTGGGCTCCTCCGGCACGCCGTCCCCCGGCTCCGGCACCTCCTCGCCGGGCTCCTTCACCGGCTCGCCGGGACCCGCCTCGCCTGGCATCGGCACCAGCTCCCCCGGCTCCCTGGGCGGCTCGCCGGGCTTCGGTACCGGCTCGCCGGGCTCCGGCAGCGGCGGCGGCTCCTCGCCGGGCTCGGACCGCGGCGTCTGGTGCGAGCACTGCAACGCCCGCCTGGCGGAGCTGAAGAGGCAGGCGCTGAAGCTCCTCATCCCCGGGCCCGTCAGCAGCAAGGTGAGCCCTGCGCCGCGGGAGGCGGCGGGAGCCTGTGCCCGGAGCGGCCGCCGGGGCTGTCCGCCACCTGGGCTCCCCTCTACCGAGCGCTTTGCCGTTTATTTGTGTTCTTCCCCTTCTCGGTCTTGTTCCCTTTTCCCATCCCCTCCTTCTGCTTCATGTGGAGCAGCGTGCCTCCGTCTCCGGAGGGCTGCCTGCCTTCAGGAGCATCTGTGATAGTCCTTCCAGCGTGCTTTTCTCCGTCTTTCATTGTATTGACAGTGATTCTGTGCTATTTCCTGAGCGTTGTGGTTTTTCTTTTTGGTTTTTTTTTTTTTTTTTTTTTTTGGGTGGTGGGGGAAAGTAAGTGTGAGAATATTACATCGGATTTATTGAGTTATTGGTCCCTTGCCCTTTTGGTGTCTTTGATTCCTACAGTATGGATTTACAAATCGTCCTTAAACTTGGCAGCCAAGTCAGTAGTGAGGTGTGTACGTACGATCTGATGCCAGTGGATTCTGCTTCCATTGAGGGAGAAACCCTTCTGTAGCTCCGGGTTCACGTGAGGCACTGAAGTGCTGTGTGAGCCCACAGGTCACTCATTGAGGCTGTGACAAACCATGGCATTGAACCCAAGTCTCCCAGGTGTCTCCAGGCAGAAGGATAACTTGGTGATGCTTCTCTTATAGGGAAGTGCCAGGTTTTTTTTTCTATTCCCAGTAACACTTGAAAATACTTGAAGCTGCTGGACTCTGAACGTTAGGTTGAATAATGCTGTGCTGAAAGAGGATGTAAGCATTGCTGACATTTTGTCTCACGTTTTAAGAGCTGACTCATCCTGAATACAGTTGGAAACCTGCTTTCTGCCTCTCTTGGGGTGTTTGGTACCTCCAAAAGCATACTCTGAAATTTCTTGGTTTTGTTTTGGCATTGGTTTTTTATTTTTCCTTTTTGTTGTGTATATGAGATTAAGGCTAACAGCTCTAAACGAGTGACCAGCAGCCCTTGGCTGACCTCATGCTACTAAAATAGTAAGCACTGGGTTCCTCCATAGCAACCCTGTGAGTGTTGTATTGTGAATGGTTCTGTAGCTCCTGGAATGTAGTACAATGCAATTTTGTTTGCCTTGTTGGGTCCAGGTACTATCAAATGATAATATTTACTCTTCCACTTCAAAGAGTTTTCATTAGTGGTTACAATAAAGAGGTATCATGGAAAAGAGCCGACTGCTGGGAGAGGGTCCCTGGTATTGCTGTTGTGTTGTACTCTCCATGATTTATTTATGTGCTCTTTGAGAGGGAGTTGGTGCTCTCATGAACAAAAGACTCAAGGGCTGGTTGTTACCTTGTCTCAAGAGCTGACTTTACTGAATTATTCATGAACAGGGAAAGGTGGATCCACCAAAATTAATAGTAAATTTAACCATTAATACATGGTTGATTCACTTTAAAGTGGCCCTGTACCAAAATCTTGTCAAATTTCAGGCTGTGAGGTTTGACAGTAATTACCAGCTGTGGGTATAGGTGGGAAATTACTGATACAGATATGGGAGCCGTCAGAATAAGTGGGATTAGGGGTGGAGGGGAGGATGAGACTAACATCAAGGCATGGTGTTAAATAGAAATTGACTGATTTTAGTCACATAAAAGTTTGCAGAGGGTTCCTTTACTGCAATAGTGATTGACATTCACCATCCAAGCCTTCCTGAGAGGTTACCATTGTGTTTCTACAGCTATTTGTTCTGCTGTTCACTTAGTTTAACTGATGGTGTTGTACAGGCCAGTCCTCAGGTTTTTCAGTCCCCTTACCTATGTTCTTTTTTGCTTCTTATGCCTCCTTTCCAAGCTTTCCACTTCTCTAGGAGTGCCACTGACAACAGTGCTGTCCAATCTGTGCATTTAGGAGCAAGGGAGGAGGCTCAAGTAAGGTGGTCTCCAAGGGCTTGGGTGACCCTCTGCCCTATTTGCTGGGCTCGATAGTACTTGCAGACTCAGTCTTGCTGAGTTGTGAGCTGGCACACAGCTCCTTTCTGTGGTGGGTGCTGCTGGCTGTGACTGTTTGCAGAATCTGCATCTCTTTCTCTCATCCTTTCTGGCTTGTGACTGCTAAGAACTTTCTGGGCTTGTGACTTTTGCCTTCAGCAGGTGCTGTCCAGCACAGCGGGCTGGGTGATGTGGGACACAAACATCGTGGCTGATGCCATTGACTTCTTTGGATTGGGTACATTGTAGTGGTCTTAAAAGTTTGTTTTTCCTGGTGTAATGGGGTAGCCTTATCAGTGCCTGCTTTGAGGAGAGCAAGGTGCTGGCCTGGGCTCTGCTGGTTCAGTCAGGGCCTGTGAGCTGCCTCTGTGTGTGCCATAGTAACACTCTGGGAGTCCCTTCTGATGGTGAGGTGTACAGGGTTTCTCAAAAACGTGGAAACCTGCTTGTGTCTGGGAAAAACTGGCTTTAGTTTGGATTGAGACTGAAGTCTAACCACACTGTGTTAATGTTGCTGGCATTTTTTCAGGGTCCCGTGAGGTCTGCTCTTGGTTGCTGCTATGGAAATAGAGGCTTTTTGAGTGTGGAATGGATCCTGCCACTTGAATTAAGTGGAAGAAGGAGCAGATCATATTCCTGATTCTGGGTATTCCCTCAGAACTTGCAAAGCATCCTACAACTCAAGACTCTGGTGCCCATAGGACACAGCTAATTGGTGATATTCCTTTATTAGGACTATTAAATGAGGCATTTAAAATGTCTGTCATCTTTTAGTCAAGCAGATTTGCCATATTTTCTGTTGTTGCTGTTGTAGACAGCCTGGTATTATGAGTTCTGTGGTATTATTAGTACAGTCTGTAGCACCTGTTTCCCATTTATGCTGTATTTAGAAATGCTCATCATCTGGGATAGTGTGTGTTGCAGAACAAGCAGAATATGAGAGTATCTGTGTTTTAATGTGTATCTACTAGCAGATATTGGAATCTGCAGTAACCTATCCAAATGTGAGCCTACATTGGTATTTCTGACAGTGTGCAGTCATGTAAAGGTTTGTATATATCTGTCAAGTGTAATAGTGTGCTTAATTGCTTCATAAACAGACCTGGCTTTGTGCATGAAGCTATGTACTGAAGCTTTTCATTTGATTGAGAAAAAGCCACACTTAAGCTAGAGCAAACTGCTTCTGACTAGGCCATTGTTAATGCTGAGGTGTTTAGCTTTCCTTTCTAAATAGAAACATTCTCTCCTAATACATCAACAGGATGGAAACTTTGTGGGTTTGTTTTTGTGAGGCACAAAGGTGAAAAATATATAATTATAGTCACATTATTTTATTTTAGCCATTTAAAATGCCAGGTTCCCTGCCAATAGCAAAAAGAATAGTGCTAAAAGCTTATTGTTTCTTTTTCCTCCTCTTGTGGTACAGATGTGACTTAATGATGTTCAGCAATTACATGCATAGGAGGGGTTATATTTTATGTGAATAAAATCTTATTGTAACCCCCAAGCGAAGCAGGCCTGTGGGAATTGACTAGCACAGGTGTTTGATATAGTTACCACTGCAGTTTGTGACTGAGGGCATCTTGGAGCTTTTGGTGCCTGTTGTTTGTGGGGTTTATGTTGCATGATGATAAAGATTATCTCAAATTACTAATACAGGTTAGTTTTTTTTTTTTTTATGCTAAGCTTTTTCTTAGGCTATATTTTTAGAAGAACATCAAACAAAGTTCTAGCATAGAAATTTGTCATCATACTCCCAAATTTATCAAAATTTCTGTGAAATCAGTTTGCTTTGAATTCAAGCCTGTGATATCACCTGTCTTCAATGAACACCCCACAGGCATCTAACAATTGAAGAGTTGCTATATTGATGTGTAACAAATTATAACGTGTCCTAATAATCCATGGAATGCTAATAAGAATGCTTACAAGGACAGTTATAAGTTTCTTAGTATGTGGTTCCAACAATCCTGAATACAGCCCTGAAACTGAGCTAATTTGAGTGTATAGACATGAATTGCTGACTGGGCATATTGTGGTTGGGTCAGGAAGTAAGGGTCTACTATAAATGGTAAGGATATATAAATGGATAGTACTGATGTTAGGTGGGGTTTTTTTTAGGTGATCTTCCCATTACCTAAAAAGTCTGTGCTTCTGAGAATAAGAATTGGGTAAATTCTGAGCAATCTTTTCCAACCCTCTGAGCACAAGAGGGAAGGAAAAAACTGGCTTTCAGGGTACAGTTTTGTTTTGCTTTTTTGTTAGCCCATTTACTGACACGATCTGATTTTTTTTTGCTTACGTATTGTTGAATTAGTCTTCTCATTCAGCGGTCAAAGACCTGACTTGTAATTATTAATAATGAAGAAAGCCCTGAAGCTGATATAATGAAAAATGTGTTTCTGTTAGCTGATAGTTACTTTAGAAACATTCCCAGTAGAGACAGGACAGTAATAAACCCTTCCTCAAAGCTTAGCAAGTGGCAGAATAATGGAATTTTGTTTCCGTCCAGACCTTTAATTTGTGAACAAGCACGGCCAGGCCAGTCTGTATAGTGACTTAATTCACTGTGCAAAAAAATCTCAGGCACCTAATCATTTCATCCCAACTCATTGTAATGCAGATAGGATTATTGCATTAGAAATGTGATTTTAAATGGCCCGAGGCAGTAATTTGTCAGCATTTGGGAGGATTAACTCCATTAAAGTTTAGGCAACAACAACCATTCTTTTGTGTTGCATCACAGGTCACAATACCAAACATTTAGCATAACTCATCTGTGAATCTT